AGCAGCAAACGTATCAAATGCCCTCCTATGAAAAAGGAGACATTTTTCTCCTACATATGGTAAACATTGTGCCACAGTTAACCTCTGGTGGATGCTCTCTCCCAGGGAATGTGTGACCACAAAGCCCTGTGGACAATGGACACCTGAAATAAATGGACATCCTACCAAGGATGCCATCAAGATGGTGTCTGTTCTCCACCCTCTTCTGTTCAACTGCAGGTGAGTTAAGGCCTTCAGCAACCCTAAGACAGGGTCAAAGCATGAAATGTTGCCTGCAATTCTTGCCTAACAGATTGAGGATTGGCCAGTTTTAACTTTCTGTGAGTGCAGGGGTAATGTTGTGATACTCTTGTGTATCCAAGGTACTAACCATACTTTCAAGTATGGTTGGGAAAGACCAGTTCAAACTGAGAAGCCTAGAAGGAACCCCTCCCATAGCTGAAGAGACAGCCTGGCTGTAGCTTCCAAGGTAACATGACCCCATTCACACCGGGATGAGACCCTTCTCACTAAGAGGAGCAGAAGAAGAAAACTAGAGAGAATTCTATTAACCTAAGTATTTGGGACTTGGAATTTTTCCTACAGGTAAAAGGACTTGGGTTTTTTCCCCCCTTTAACTTTATTTTCTCCCGGAGAACTTAATAATGAAACAGACTATTTCTCTAAATTTTGTTCATCTTTATATTTCTCATCTGGAAAGTATGGATTATCTTTATGTCACCATTTAGGTGCATTGAAGCCTCTGATGAGCTATATTGGACAATATAAATGAAAAAAATTGGAGAGTGGGAAAGAGAACAGGAAAGTAACTTTTGAGCTTTAGTTATAAAACCTCCTTAGAGATAATTTATTAAATGTAACATCATGAGTCATTTCCAAGCCTTCTGGGAGCAGAGTCTAAATGTCCAACTGTGATTCCAGAAGGATCTGCAAAGAGGTAGGGGTTGTTATTTGGAGGAATGGCTTCATGAAGGTGGGAAGGAACTTCCCCACTGGGAGCTGATCTCCTCCCCCAAGGGGCTCAGCCACACTCTTGCCTGACCACAGCCCCCAACAGAGAAGGTCAATAACACAATAGGGCAAGAACTGACAGTACTTGGTCCCCACTCCTACTGTCCTCTGTGTAGGGATTTCCGTAACATGCCTCTCATGGCTTCACTCCCTACCTCCTGTGTCATCCTCTTGAGAGGATATGGATGAGTTCCTGAGTTTGGAAGAAGGAACTAAGTATGCTCAGCTTAGCACCTGTCTCTCTTCTCTCAGGGAGTGCCCTTCAGGTCTGAGCTCTGTCACAAGATAGGTGCTTGTCCCTCAGGTGAGGCCTGAGGCTGACCACCTGGGCCTAGAACAGGGAGTGGAAGTTTAGCTGTGAGATAAAGTTTTAACTAGTTTGCTTAGCCACAGAGCCAAAGCTACATTCCCTAATCAGTTTTATTAGAATAAAAGTGCTATTTTAAACTAAAATCAAAAGTAATTGATGGAATGAAAAGATAAATGAATATAACATCTACCCACATGAAGCTGAGTCAAGGACTCAAAGGTACAGGTGAGAGTCAATTTATTCAATACAGAGTCCCTTAAAAGTCATTTTAAAGTAAATCAATTTTTATAAGTTAAGTTTTCTCTTACCTCCCACATAGCTAATCCTTTATTCCCAGATAGATTAATCATCAATGTTCATTAATTTCCTATTGGTGGCTCCTGACATTTAAGCCTTCAATTTTTCCATACCCGCCAAGTAGTTAAATTATCTTAATAAACAATTCACTAGGTGACTGGGGGCGGGCTCTTTTAGCAAAGCATGCTGTGAGCTTCTCTTGAGGGAGAGCAAGTCTTTCATGAAAAACAGGTGACTTAGTCAGAAGAATGTCACTGATTACTCATGGGCTGTCTCATTTAATCTTCACAACAAGTCACTTAGAAGTAGAGAAATGAAGTAACTTGCCGAAGTTACTTGGCATATCCAGTAAGTAGCACTGTCAGGATCTCAATCTTGGCATGCCTCCAAACCCCACACTCAGTCCACTACCCCACAACACCTACATTCACAGAGATCCGTATGACCAAGACTGGAAGAAGTCTTGCAAGTCACTCGTCTACTGCTGATGTCCTCCAGGGCATGACTTGTCTGTCTCGGGGATGGGGAGTTCCTAAGGTAGCCCCTTCCATTGCAGGGCAGAGCTATTATTCCCCAGCTCCATTTTACGTAGAATGTCCTATAGGTTTGGCCTGCTGGCCTGAGGCCCTTTTTCCTTTCAGGTCCCCAAAACACAGAACTGTGGAGGTAGCAGAGTGTCCAGCCTCAGATTTAAAATCCTTTTCTCCTCCAACTATTTCCCACACACCTTGATCTTCAGCCTTTCCCCCTTCCCTTTAGGAGTCTCCTCTGAGCACCATCATTACCAGTGATACAAGTGGGGTCTGGAAATGGACATAACATTCCAGGCTGGAGTAGACCAGTGCAGAGTCATGTGCTAGGTTATCACTGCACTCATTGTAAGCACTGTTCTACCAGGTATTATTTTTGTGTGTGGTGGGGGTGGGGGCTGGAAAGAGCACCGCGCCTCTGCTCCAGAGCTTCCATAGTACAAACAATGTTTTTACCAAATTGCATTTCCTGAAATGCCAGCATCCCAGAATAAGTGAACAGGTGCTTTAAGAATAAAAAGGATCTGTTGTGACCACAGAAGTTTGGAATATACTGTTTAATAGTCATTCTTTAACAAATCCTTATTGAGTGCCTACTGTATGAGAGGTACTATTCTAGCCACTAGATGCATATCCATGAATTAAACAAAGCTAAATCCCTGTCTATGGAAGCTACAGATCAGAAAAGAAATACTATGAATGTGTGAGGACCTTTTAGAAGATTTTCTCAATGTAAGGACATAGGCTTAATTCCCTTTATGTCAAGATACCCCCAATATACAATCCTGCTGTAATTATTAACATCCTCGGGAACCGTACTGGGTCACAAATATAGGAAACACACCCTTACACCACTGAATTCAAATCACCTTGCCTTCAGCCAATGTATCTCCTTATGTCACTACTGTCCTGTATGGAAGCATTCTAATGTAAAAAGAAGCTAATGATCAGCCAAAAAATATTGTAAGCACAGCAAACCCACTCCATAGGAGGGCACAGTGGACACCATGGAGCATACTAGGAGGAAAAGGGGCTTATCAGGAAGCTAATAAATATGCACAGGAATGCAGGACAGATGAGGGGAGGGAAGCCAGTGAGGGACCAAATTCTCAGAGAGGAGCAGCTGATGGGACTCAGCTCTCAGGCGAAGCATCAGTAACCCAGGTAGTCAGACCTGGGGATGTACAGGCTTTAGCCAAGGAAGCAAAAGGACCAGATTAGGAATTCCACTGCAAACAAGATGAGGATGAGGGAAAAACCAGAATGGACCAGCACCCCCAGGGAATCAGCTACATAGTGCACAAGGCCCAGGCTCCTGCCAGCCCAGGGAGCTTCCCCCAGAATTCTGACACGAGACTACAAAAAAGACACCCTCGCCCTTTGCCTTCTGGTAGAATGACTACTTCCAAACCCAGCTGGCTACCTTTCACAATCAAACATAACTCTTCGATGTTAGCCCTTTCCATTGAATCTGGTACTTCCAGGCAAAATGGCACAAAAGTAGCAAAAAAAAAAAAAAAAAAAAAATCATTGTAGGCACCTGTAGCCCTGCTCGAAAATTCCTCCAGGCTCCCCACTACTACCTCCTATATCCTTGCTCATCACTCCCTTGATGTTTTCACCCACTTTGGCCCCACGTTCCCATGTTCCACAGGGTCCCTCTGGAACTTGAGAACTCAGTTTGGAATGCCGGCCCAGCTTGTGCCGCCACCCACCCCTACACTTGACAGTCAGCATTTGTACATCAAGTTCAAGCACCAGCCCCCAGCCCCAGCTTTCCCCTCATCCCAGGCTCCTTGGACAGAGTGGCCTCTGCAGACTCTCTGGGTTGGGAGGGTGAGAATGCCTGGGGCCAGCTTCTCTGACTGGCAGGTGAGCCAGGTCGGAAGAACCTGTACCCTGTGCAAAATGAGCCAGACACAGAGGAAAGACAAAAGGGAAGCCTCTGGGCTCCGCAGAGAGGCTGAGTTTAGAGAGAAGCTGATGTGGGAAGGGACTTGGTATTTGTGGAAGGCGTTTATTTGGTGGTGGGAAAAGAATGGCAAATATGTAACACAATATTTCTGGAACTATAAATAACATGTAAATACCTTTCATAATGAAAACCGTATGCAATCTGCTTTCCTGGGAGGCTTTTACAATAGGAAAAGGCGAGAGAGGGAAATAACATATATTTAACTCACGCTATGTGCTAAGCTCTTACCATATGTCATTTGCTTAATCCTCTCCTTTCACTTCTGGGGGAGGTTTTCACTTTATACATGAAGGAAATGAGGCCTTTTAGAGGTTCAGGAACTTGACCAAGGGCTTGTTGTGAACCACAGTTTGAAAGCAGATCTGTCTGATTCCAAAGCCCTTGTTCGTTCTAGAATCAGGCAGGAGGCTGACTAAAGGCAGGGGCTGGACTATCTGACCTTTCCAGATTCTTTTCTATTGCCAGGACTTCCAGAATTGGCTCATTCCTTACAGGTGCCCCAAGTCTTTCAGGACAGGATGGATCCATTGCATGTACTGCGGGCAATAACCACACGAGGAAGATTTAAGGTGGTAGGAACAATACTCTAAGTTGGGAAATGTCAGCTTCTGCCATGGCCTTGCTGTGTGACCTTAGGTAAGTCTCTTCCCTCTCTGGGTGCCAGTTTTCACATCTGGAGAATGCAGACTGGGGCTAACTTGGGAAGCCTCAAGCTCTGACAGTCCTGTCTGCTAGGTGCTGGAGTTCCCTTTGGCGATCTGAGGAGGGTATCTCCCAAGACAGGCACTTCAGAAAGGACCCAGTGCCTCAGCCCGCCCCCGCTCCCACCTCAGGAGGCTACACAAGTGCCCCTCCCTGCAGCCCAGCCTGTACTGACCTGTACCTCCCGGGTCAGGGCCAGCTCCAGCAGCTGGCCAAAGTGCTGGCCCAGTGTGCTCAAGGTCTCACTCACACAGGCCTTCATCGACTTCAGGACATGCTCATTCTCAACCTGGAGGCACCTGGGGAAAAGAAACCATGGAGTGGGCCACCGGAAGGGGCAGGTACTCAGCCCAGAGCCATGGCGGAAGCATGGCCTGCTGGTAGTGCGAGTAACCTAGGAAGAAGTCATCTGCTCCAGGGGAGCCAGAGATGGAATATTCCATAGCTGCCTTGTCCTCTGGCCTCGTTGTGTTCAGAGAAGTGCCAGCCGAAAATGGGAGCTAACAGTCCATGTCCCTAGGAAGAAAGGCCATCAGAAAGTGATCAAATCCATACCTTTGGGCTTCTCCCTGAGAGAAGTGAGTCCAGCACTCACTTTCAAAGTGTATAGCAATACCCGTGACCTTCAAACAAATGGCCATCTAGGGGCACCTTGGTGGCTCAGTTGGTTGAGCATCCTACTCTTGGTTTCAGCTCAGGTCATGATCCCAGGGTCATGGGATGGAGCCTGTGTCCAGCTCCGAGTTGAGCATTGTGCCTGCTTGGGATTCTCTCTTTCTCTCCTGCCCTTTGCTCCTCTTCCCTTCTTGTGCTTTCTCTCTCTCTAAAATTAAAAAAACAAACAGGGGCGCCTGGGTGGCTCAGTCGGTTAAGCGTCCGACTTCGGCTCAGGTCATGATCTCACAGCTTGTGGGTTTGAGCCCCGCATTGGGCTCTGTGCTGATATCTCAGAGCCTGGAGCCTTCTTCAGATTCTGTGTCTCCCTCTCTCTCTGCCCCTCTCCCACTCGCACTCTGTCTCTCTGTCTCTCGAAAATAAACAAACATTTAAAAAAATTTTTTAAATAAGGATAAAAATTAAATTAAATTAAAAAACAAACAAAACAAACAAACAAAAAAAAAAAAACCAAAGAAAAGGAATGGCTGTCTACAATGACTGTCTACAGAAAGGAACCTTAAATTTTTTCTCTCCAGGCAGGAAGAACATAGAGTAGATCAGGTTTAAATTTACCCCTATGGCCTGAGAATGTTCCACTGGAAGGGCAAGGACCCCCTGAGGGCCTCAGGGATGCCAAGCCCTGTTTCTCTTGCAGGGCACGGGGGTTGGAAAAAGTAAGGAAGAATGTAAACAGAAACCTGGGTGTGTATACATGTGAGGCTAAGTGCCTATATGTTCTGAGTATAGGCCCATATATGTTTATGTGTGTGAGATATAGAGAAGAGAGTATGAGTGTATTTCTGTGAACTCATGAGTGTGTGTTTATATACCTGTGTATTGGCAGGTACGTGTCTGTGAAATCCTTGTCTGTGTGTATGTGAGTATAGGGTGTGAAAGTCTGCTTTCACCTTGCCTTGACTTTGGGGACGGAGTGGGGGGCTTCCCAAAGCTATGGGAAACCCTTTTCTTTCTTTTCTTCTTCTTCTTCTTCTTCTTCTTCTTCTTCTTCTTCTTCTTCTTCTTCTTCTTCTTCTTCTTCCTTCTTCCTTCTTCCTTCTTCCTTCTTCCTTCTTCTTTCTTCCTTCTTCCTTCTTCCTTCTTCTTCTTCTTTTTTTTTAACCAGCCCTCAATAATCCTCTTACTACCTATGCCTGGGCCTATCTCCTCTTTTACATTCCCCTTGGACCTGAAAAGGGGCAGAAAATCCCAAGGGAGTCTTTCAAGGTTGCTGATGAAAATTAGCGAAAGGAAATTTGCAGACCACCACCAGCCCTTACTGCTTTCACTCTCCCTCTGGAAGAAGATGCCAGCCCCTTCCCCTGCTTGAAGGCAGGCTATCCAGTCTTACCCAGCATCCAGATTTACCTCTCTGTGACTGCTGAGAGCTCTGAGCATTTCTCCATTAGCAGCTTCTCAATCTGTAGGAAAAATAGATCAAATTTACTCAATTCAACAAGCATTGGGTCAGGATCAACTACTACATGGGACCTTCTGGGGCATAAAGATGGTGAATCAAATCATCTGATTTTGGAAATAGGCACATAAACTATAACAGTGCTGTATGGATGGCAAAAGACACCGTCATCAACTACTCTGAGAGCTCAAAAAAGAAAAACAAGCACTTAGTTATGCTGGGGGAATCTAAGAAGCTTCAGAGGGAAAGGGGCATTTGAGCTGGGCTTCAAAGGATAAATAGAAGTTTACGATCTGTGAGGTGGGGACAAGGAAAAGGGTAAAGCACTAAGATGGGAAGTGAATGCCAGAGGGGGATTTTCAGTGGTTCACTATAGGCTTGGAAAAGAAGATTCCAAATCAGAGGCTTTGGAATCAGAAAGACCTGGACTGAATTCTGGTTACGTCATTTACTGCATAACTTTGGGCAAATTACTTAGGATTTCTTGAGTTTGTTTCCTTTATAAAGTGAGGACAGTAATACTACTAATATTTTTCATCAACTGTTTTAATGCATTAGTCCTCACAACAGACCTATGAAAAAAGCACTATTATTATACTCATGAGGGTGACGGAACTGGGACACAGAGAAGGTATGTAACTTGCCAAGGTCACCCAGTGGAGCTGATATTTGAACCCAGACAGTCTGACATTCTGGTGGGTATACTGAACCACTGCATGGCTTCTCACAGTGGTTATGTCTGCTTCTCATGTCGCACAGGTTAAATGAGATGTGTGTGAAAACACCTAGCTCGATGCCTAGTACATGGTAGGTACTCAGGAAAGGTCCTCACTCTCTTCCCTGATTTTTGGAAGAGGAAGGAGGTCCTGGAGCAGAAAAAGTTCAAATGTCACACATTTCACATCCACTCCTCTAAAAGGTATCTCCCTTCTCAGCGCCTGCACATGCCCCCCCGCCCCCACCAGCCCCCAGGGCGACTGACCTGGCCCATCTCCTGTGAGGAGCTCCTGCTGATGGCACTGTACTCACTGACCATGGAGCGGGCATGGCAAGTCAGACGCACACTCATGCTGTGGACACGTGCCCAGCGGTCCTGGGCCAGCTTCTGTGCGATCCTGCGCAGCTCAGTGCTGATGACCCAGCCCCTCTTGAGAAGTAGCTGCAGCGGGTCTCCAGGGCCGGGGCCGCCTGCCAGGATGAGGTCACTCTGTGCATCTTCCTCCAGGCTGATGGGCTTTGCCTGCAGGACGCACATGCACTCACACTCGGTCATGAGCTTCAGGTCCTCCATCCAGCGCTGGACCGAGTCCGCTGGCATCAGGTGCAGCCTGCAGCCGGGGAACAGGGCCATGATGGCTATCAACACTCCACGGTTTCCAGAGTTTCCATTTCCGGCCATCTGATGTTTACTAAACACCTACTATATGCTCATCACTGTTTCTTTTGTTCACTTACTTTAACCCTCTTGTTTTCCATTATCTCCAATTTGCAGATAATAAGACTGAGGCACAGGAGTTTTGGAAGCAGATGACCAGACAAACAACAGGCAATGAAGTCTGGCACAGTAGCAAGTGATATTTACAATAAGAAGAAAACGGAGAGACAAATGGACGGCTCAGTCAGTTAAGCATCTGACTCTTGATTTCAACTCCGATCATTATCTCTTGATCTGTGAGTTCGAGACCCACATCAGGCTCTGAGGAGACTGCTTGGGATTCTCTTTCTCCCTCTCCTCTCTCTGCCCTTCCCCTGCTCTCTCTCTCTCTTTGTCTCTCTCTTTCAAAATAAATAAACCCAAAAAAGAAGAAGAAAATGGAAATGGCCTAAATATCAACTACTGGTTATGTTGTTATGTAAGCTATGGTACAGCTACATGGCCGTCTACACAGCGTGTACTTATTTAAAATAATGCTTTCAAAGAGTGCTCCAAAACTAACATGATTAGAAAGGGGATAGAGAAGCTGGGCAAATATACGATCATTGTGCTCCAGAGATAGAGAACTAAAGCAACCTGACTGAAGAACTTGTAAGAGGCAAGAAAGAACTAGTCACTCACTCACTGATGCATTCACTCTGTAAACACTACAGCGGACAGCTATTATTTCTGTCCCTCTAGCATCCCTCCTCCTCCTTCTGTCAATAACAAAGGCAAGTTACACTGCTGCCTCTTGATGAGACAGCCTGGGCTTCAGCTGTTCCTTCCTCCCAAACACAGGGGTTGCGAGGCCGCTGAGTCACAGCACCTGGCACCAGCACGTGGCACAGAGGAAGCGTGGGTGCCAGGCCGGGAAGCGCTCTGGACCCCTCAGGTGGGACACACTCACACCCCCTTCCTTCAGGCCTAGAATCAAAAGGACCAAGAAGAGCTAGGAAGGGAGAAAAAGAGAATCAGTGCCACCAAATGCCTCGGGCCTGGGCCCTTCCCGGGAGGCCTGATTCGATCCCAAACTCACATTTTTGTCACCTCCTCCACCCCCATCTCACATGGAGGTACCCTCCACTCTTGTTAAGATCTTTAAGAATTAGAAAGAAAGTGGGATTTCAGAAGCTGTGTTAATTAAAATCCTAGTTGATTTATCGCTTGGCTGGTAAGAGGAATGGAATGACAAAACTATTGATTTCTCTAGTCTCTGCATTATTTGTGCCTATGAGGGTCTGTGTTATGGATATGAACTCATTTGGGTGTCTGTCTATATTATCTGTATGCCAGTGTCTGGGTGTCTGGCTTGGAGCTTGTATATCTCTACCTGCGCAAATAGTCAGCTGATTGTGTTTACAAGCCTTGCATCAGATAAACTCGATGACTAAGAACAGCAGGGATGGGGCTTGAGCGTGGGCTGCATTTAATGACTCAATTCCAAAGAAGAAAAGTACAGAAAAGGGACTGAGGAAAAGTACCTTTGCAGTGGAGAACTCTGACGCATCACCACCCTACTCAAGTGATCAAAACGCACCTGCTGACCAGCGTGTTGACAGCATGTGCTTCCGACATGACGTGATGAGAAAGGCTCCTTCTCCCCAAATGCATAACCTTAGTCTCGTCATGGGAAAGGTGTCAGGGACCGACTGAGGAACATTTTACAAAGTACCTGACCAGTACTCCTCAAAACTGTCAGCGTCATCACCAACAAGGAAACACTGAGAAACTGTCATAGAGTAGAGGAGACAAAGGAGATGTGATGACAAACTCTAACAGGGCATCCTGGATGGGATCCTGAAACAGAAAAGCACCTTCGTGGAAAACTAGTGAAAGCCATATAAAGTCTGGGGTTTAGTTAACAGTCACAGACCAACAATGGTTCTTCCGTTGTGATAAACGTACCAGTGTTCGCAGAAGGTGTTAACAATCAGGGGGACTGGGTGCGGGATGTACAGGAACAGTCTGAACTATCTGCAACTTTCTGTAAATCTAAAACTATTTAAACATTTTTATATTTCTTTTTTTAAATAAAAAAATGATGCTTGGGGAGAAATGTGGACTCCAGCTGACAGGCCTAAAGGTTCCTTATTTCATTCCCCGCAGGAAGAAGTGCATTACTATTGCTTCTTCCCCAACCAGAAGCACAGGCTGAGACTGGCTGTCTCTCTGGCTTTGTGTCATGAGCCTCATGGGAAGGGGACCTAGAGAAGCCAAGCTCCATTGGAGTGGACAGGGAGGTGGAACCTGGTCAAGGAGCCAGGAATGAAAAGCTCCCTCAAAGAAGCTGGAAGTGGAAGGAAATAGGGTCCCCAATTGGGCTAGGGGATGAAAGCTGTACTCAGGAGAAAGGAACATGGCAAGCCTAGTGGGCTGTCTTCCATTTGGTCCTATGATCTGCTCTAGAGCCCACCAGTGGGTGCATCTCAGGCAGGCCTCCAGGACCCGCATCCTCTGTGCTTAGCTACCTCAGGGACACTCGCTCTGGCGGAGTCAGGCCCTCAGATGTCCCCTGGTGATCTGGCTCCCTCCTTAGCTGCCTGAATAGGCTTTGAACCAGAGCTTCCTCAGGACGGAACAGACTACTATGTAAGAGCCTTGAGCATAAGAAAAGCTTCCACAGACCAACAAGGCTTGCACATTAACATGTGGAGGGCATAAAGAGCTGGCCCTGTCGCTCATAATCTGTGGGCTGAAGGCAAGTTGCTGCTGCTTGTTTTTCCTTTTTCTGAAATTTTTATTGAAATAACATTACATAAAGGTGAACAAATTATAATATCAGGATGCAGTTTGATGAATTTTCATAAGGTCAACACACTCATGTGTCCAGGAAGCAGATGAGAAAAATTACCAACATCTCTGTAGTCTCCCTTGCGCCCCCTGCTGGTCACCCTCAAGCAGGAAAACTGGTATCCTGACTTTTTTTTTTTTTAATTTTTAACAAAGTACATTAATCTTTTCAGTACATTTCTTAACGTCTCTGACCCTCAATTTCTTTATCTGTAAAAGTATAATAATAAAATCTTCCACACAAGGTAGATGAAGGAATTAAATTAAACGGTGAGCGTGAAGGACTTAGGATCTCACATAAAGAAATGTTCAAAAATGTTAGTTCTCTTTGCTGCCCTTCCCCCCACATAACACTTGAGCAACTACAGTAATTACTGTAATAGTGGCTAGAATATATTGAGTACATTCCACATGCTGAACACTGTGCTAAGTGCTTTACATGGATTGTTTAATTTACTCCTCAAGACAAGTGTCTGAGCAAGTATTATTATTTCCCCCATTTCCAGATGAGGAAACTGAGATGCAAAGAAGTAAAATCACCCAGGTGGAAAGTATGTAACATTGAGACAGAAACCTTATCTCTATCACTCCAGAGTCTGTGTTAAACTTAACCTCTTTGCTTTACTGCTTCCCACTCTGGATATGCATGAAAACAAAAACAAAAACAAACACACACCAAAAATAAAGGAAGAAGAAGAAGTCGACATAGAGCAGCAGAGAGCAAGATGAGACAGCCTTCACACTGGGAGACAAGAAGGACAATTTTCCCAAGCAAGGACTTCTGGGACTACTTATGAGCAACAGGAAGATAAAAGGGAGCTGTCAGCCGCTAACTCTGCCTAAAGCTCCGGGGTAGAGGGTGGACCGGGACCCTGGGCCCCAGAGATGCAATTGCTGCTTTCAGGCCAAACCTACTCCTGCCTGTCCCACCGTGGGATCCTCCTTCCAGGGTGACAGCCACAGAGATGAGGACAAACAGGGGTGCCTTTGGGGAAAGCAGAATCTGCTTTTCTTTAAGAATGAGCTTAAAATAACTTCTATTTCTAGAGATTGTTTAAACAGATACCTCCCCTTTCTCCCCCAAGGAGCAAACAAACATACTGGGAAGAATAAACTGAGAAGATTAGTCAACCCATGGATCCCTGCCTCCTCTTAACCTCGTCCAGTGACTGGGCCTCGGGCCCCATCAAGCAGGCCCCTTAGGTCCAGGGCCAACTCCAATAGGGCTGGGAGGACATCAAAAGGGTTTTAACCCCCTAGCAGGTCGAGGGGAGAGTGGGCTGGCTGCTCAAGGCAAGTATATGCCTCCCACCCAGCCTGACTTTACCCAGTATGCTTTGTACCCAAGCTATCCAAATTATAACCGAATCGTTGGGGTTGTAATAGAATTGTGTTTGGAAAAAAAAAATTTTTTTTTAATTTTAAAAAATATATAGAATTGTATGAAAAACAGTTCAGAAGGCAGAGGAAAAGGGAAAGTAAATAAAAACCACCAGTAATAATAATTAGTATTTATTGGATCCTTAGAGTACCCCCAAGGGTTGTGCAATTATCATGCATTGTTTTATTCTCACAATAACTTAAGTGTACTTTTTCCTTGTCTCCACTTTACAGATGAAAACACAGAGGCACTGGGGCGCCTGGGTGGCTTAGTCGGTTAAGCATCTGACTTTCGCTTAGGTCATGATCTCACGGTTTGTGAGTTCGGGCCCCGCGTCGGGCTCTGTGCTGACTGCCAGCTCAGAGCCTGGAGCCTGTTTCAGTCTGTGACTCCCTCTCTCTCTGACCCTCCCCTGCTCACGCTGTCTCTCTCTCTCCTAGAAATAAATAAAAATATTTAAAAAAAAAAAAGAAAAGAAAACACAGAGGCACAGAAGACTTACATGACTTAAGAGAGCCGGAGCTCCCTGCAGGCAACCTGAATCTAAAGAGTATCTACCTACTGGCTACACTCTACAGTTTCTCCCCCGGTCTCTCTCTCCCACCAACTTTGAGATGTCCTCAAAGGCAGGCATTGACTTAGCTCAGCATCACCAGCACTCAGCACAAGGCCTGACACATAGTATGGATCAATAAATATTTAACTGATCAAGTAAACTAGAAACTGCCTAGGAAACATGGAGTGTAAGCCTTGGCACACCAGCTGGAAACATTTCCTGAACTTACTGGGGTGTTATAAGAGGAGCATGAGTGCTCTGTGCTCTGGCCTGGAATGTAGAAATGCCTGAACTCACCCAGTCCTCTGTTCTGGACTACATTTCAGGAGATATGGGTTCTATCTTTGGCTGGGATGTCAGACAAAGCATAGGTGAGTTCCCCGCAATGAGGTACAGTTTAAGAGTTGGGGAAGTACGTTCCACAAAAGACACCATGATAAAAATTTTTCTTTTAATTTTTTTAAGTTTATTTCTTTATTTTGAGATAGAGAGAGTGCACGAGCACAAGCAGGGGAGGGACAGAGAGAAGGAGACAACATCCCAGGCAGGCTCTGTGCCATCAGTGCAGTGCCCGATGCGAGTCTCAAACTCACGAACCATGAGATCACGACCTGAGCTGAAAGCAAAAGTCGGTTGCTTAACAGACTAAGCCACCCAAAAACAAAAGTTTTTGTTTTAAATAGAAATACTTGAGGGGCGCCTGGGTGGTTCTGTTGGTTAAGTGTCTGACTTTTGATTTTTGCTCAGGTCATGATCTCATGGTCTGTGAGATCAAGCCACGTACTCTCAAGGATGGAGCCTTTTGGGGATTCTCTCTTTCCCTCTCTCTCTGTCCTCCCCCAGCTCACTCTCTCTTTCTCTCTCTCTCTCTCTCTCTCTCTCTCTCTCAAAATAAAGAAATAAACTTGAAAAGAAAAAAAGAAATAAGAGAAAAGGAAATACTTGAAGCAGGTGTCAATAAAATCAGAGAAACCTTCCGTACGAGCCATTTTACAAACATTCCAATATTCTACTGAGCAGTGCTCTGGTTGCATAAAGCATGGGCCCTTAATGACCACTGTCCCAAGTCTCAGAACTTCTAGGCAAATGGTAAGGTGTGACTATCTACACTCAAGCCCTGGGGGAGTGGCTGAAGGGAGCTCCTCGCTCCTACAGGAAGTGCCTGTCCCCATATAACACCAGTAACAAACAAAATAGCCTCACCCCAATTCAATAAGGCTTAAAACACTAAGTATTAACTGCTCCACCTGATTCATTGAAATGCTACTGATGTTGACCATGTGCCAGGCTTTGTGCTGGCGATCCCTGCCCTTAAGACACTCACACCATCTAAGAGGAGAGACAGACATAAATAAATATAACCCAAGCACATTCTCATCCCAACACCATCTCAAGCATTTCCAGGCATCCCCACTGTTCATCTCCTACACAGGTGGCCCTTGAACAAGCCAAATTTGGACTACACGGGTCCACTTAAGTGTGGATTTTTTTTTTATAATACAGTACTGTAATGTATTTGCTCTTCCTTATAATTTTCTTAATAACATTTTATTTTCTCTACTTTATTGTAAGAATATAGTATATGATAAATATAACCTACAAATTATGTGTTGATCAACTTTATGTTATCAGTAAGTCTTCCAGTCAATTAAGCTATTAACAGTTAAGTTTTGGAGGGGTCCAAAGTTACATGCAGATTTTCAACTGTGGTGGTGGGGGGAGGGTGTCGGTGCCCCACACCCCCGCATTGTTCAAAAGTCAACTATAGATTCTCCCCAATATCTACCATCTTTTCTTCCCTTAGCACCCTTACACTGAGTATTACCCTAACTGTCAGGTCTTGCCAGGCCCACCCAGCATGGCTACCTTTCCTTCTGGACACCATCATGCTGTCTGACTCCACTAGACATCTCAGGCTGCTCCAGCCACCATTTAGTCTCTTACTGCTGCATCTTCTGGATACCATTGTGCCACCATCAGCACCAGGCATGCCACTGGGTCTTCTAAGCATCATGTAGCTTCTGTTTGGTAGCACTGTTCCCATGAGAGTGTGAACTCTGGAGCTGGATTGCCTGGATTAAATCCCAGAGCATCCCAGAGCGGGTCACTAGTTACCTGCATAGCTTTGGGCAAGTTACATAACCTCTCTGTGCTTCAGTTTCCTCAATGGTGGAAAGGAGATGATAATAGCACCTTGCCCTGAGGCTTTCTGTGATTATTAAGTGAAATGGATATATATGTGCAAATATATGTATGTATATTTGCTAAGAATAATGTCTGACAGGAGGTATCATATGTGTTAGTTCTTATTAGAGCAGTTTCAATGAAAGCAGCTATATAATCAGAACTTAATTAGTTAAAAATAGAGAAATAAGGAAAATTCTGGGAAGATGGCAGTAGTGACAGCAGTTTTTAAGTTTTTTTAACGTTTATTTTTGAGAGACACAGCATGAGTGGGGGAGCGGCAGAGAGAGAGGAAGATACAAAATCTGAAGCAGGCTTGGGGCTCGAACCTACGCACCATGAGATCATGACCTGAGCCAAAGTCAGACACTTAACCGAATGAGGCACCCAGGCGCCCCATGACAGCAGTTTTTAAATCTAAATCTCCACATGAAAAGTTGACAGAACAACAAAGATAACAAAACCAAAACCCTTTGGATCAAAACTAGATGATAAAATATCCCCACAAAGCTCAAAAGACAAGCAGGCAGGGACCAAACACTAACAGCTGCAAGACCTGCTCAGGGTCATCCGTACAAGAGGAGCAAGGAGGACCCAGGAAGATAGTGTTTGATGCATATGAGGGCCAAGAGTCGCCAGGATATTTATTGGAAAGCACAGCATGACAGAAGAGTGGCTGAAACCGGAAAGGGATCTCCCTCTCCAATAGCAAGTGAGTAAAAGGCACCTAATAGGAACTCTCAAAACTAACCCAACAGGAATCTCTTCTACAACAACGTGCCATATTAAGAAGAAACTTCTGGAGGCAAAATCAAAATTGAGCAGGACAGGGGCCTCAGAGACAAAGGCAAGAGATGTTCACTCAGATCCGTGTAGGAGGTGGAAGCAGAGCTAGGAACTCTGGGAAAGCAGAGCACCCTACTTTGAACCTTACACAGAAACAGAAGAAAATGGAGCTCTATGAATTTAGAACAGTTTTCCTGAACCCCGCCTCCCTCAAAAAGTTCTTGCAAACTCATTTCACATAAAAATGAGCAACACAAAAATTATTCAGGTCTCATCCCATGCATGGTCATTTTAGAAAGAGACGAAATAACAAAATTATCCCTACAATTAGAAAATGCCAGGAAAATGTACTCACAAAACAGAAGGAAACTAAAATGTGTATACGATTTGAAAATGAGCTTAACATTTTAAAAAATGATATAAGATGTGAAAGAGAAGCATGAAACCTCAGCTATCTTAACTAAGAAAATAATTAGAAATAAAAAGAAAATGCCATTTTAGAAACAAAGACGATACAAGATGAAAACATGAGATAATGCCTTATGAAAATCAAACGCACAAAAGGAAAGAATGTTTTAAATTAAAAGAAAAGACAGAAATTAAAAGGATTTGTGAGAATGTGGCAAATATTAAAGAGAGGCAGATAAGATCCAATACACATATAATAAGAGTTCCTTTGGAAGGAACCCAAAACACAGCATCAAAATACATGTGAGAAGCTATAAACTAGGAAAACATTCCTGCGGAAAAAAATATTCTTTGAACTACATATTGAAAGGGCATACTCCAGCTTTGCGCAGTGGCAGTAGCATAGCCAATGAGGTTTATCCGAGGCGCGATTATTGCTAATTGAAAGGGCATACTCCATACATGGAAAGAAACATATAACACATATTCTACTAAGATTACTGGACTTTTAAGAAGAAAGAAAGGAAATGCTTTGTGCATCTCGAAATAAGTGCATGTTACTTGTAAGGGACAGGTTATGTTATCATCAGAATTTTGGGTGTGAAAGTGATGCTTTATACCAGAAATTAAGTAGAGGGACATATTTTAAAAATGCAGAAAAAAAAATGTGAGCCTTTACATTCCGCAAAAGTATGAGGTGAGAAGGAAGCAATGCTAACAGTGATGCTGGAGGACAATCGTTCCCAATCGCCCTTGAACTTGAAGGCTAGATCCTGATTCACACAGATGATGAATGAGCATGGACAAAGTAGAGCCCCAGAGTCTTCACTTCGGCCACAAAATGGAGAGGCCAAACAAGTCCAGAAGACAGTTGCATTTGAGGCATGTTGAGTTTAGTGAGCCCATTTCTTCTTTGGTGTCCAGTCCCTTTCTCCAGACTGTCCTTCTGTAGCCCTTCATTCCAGAAACATCCAGGCACTCCCAGCATCTGTGCAGGATATGTGGCCCAGACACTCACACAAATCCCAACATGAGTGATCACTCAATAGATAATTTCCTTAGTCTCCACTGTGTGCAGGAACTGTTCTAGCTGCTTGGGACACACGCGTGAGCAACACAAACAGATATATCTGCCTCTCCCCCTAGAGCAGGGGGGAACAAATACAATAATAATAAATACAAGTGAGAACGTATATGGTATGTTAAAAGCAGATAATTTCTATCGGAGTTAGAGTAAGTACGGATGAGGGGTGCCTGAGTGGCTCAGTCGGTTGAGTGTCTGACTTCAGCTCAGGGCATGATCTCATGGTTTGTGGGTTCAAGCCCCACATCGGGCTCTGTGCTGACAGCTCAGAGCCTGGAGCCTGCTTCAGATTCTGTGTCTCCTTCTCTCTTTGTCCCTCCCCCCCTCACGCTCTGTCTCTCTGTCACTCTCTCTCTCCCTCTCTCTCTCAAAAATAAACATTTTTTTAAAAAATTTTTTAAAGAGTAAGTATGGATAAGATAGTTCGTGTGGGAGTCAGGGAAGTTAGTGCCATTTTAAACAAGTGGTCAGGCTCACTGAGAAAGTAAGATGTGAGCAAAAGCCTCAAGGTGGTGAGAGAACCAGGCTCACTGAAGTATGGGTACTGAGCAATCCAGGCAAAGGGCTCAGGCAGTGCAAATTCCCTCCTTGGGAGCATGCCTGGTTTGTCTGAGAAACAGCAGGGAGATGAATGTGGTTAGAGCAAGAGTAAGATTAGGAAGATGTGAGCCTTGGAAGCTACCGGGAGCACCCAGGCTTCTTTCACTCCTTCCTGAACACTGAAGGAATCTTGTCACCACATGTCAGCTGGGTCCACCAAGCCCCTATGCCTCTCTCCAACCCAACCCGGAAGGCTCTCTCACTAAGGGCTTTGTAAAAACAACACATAAATTCATTTAACCTACCCTCTGCTATGCAGTGAATTGTAAACTGTTTACTAAACAGTTAATTTAAGTGTAATTATTTATGCAACAAACTATAAATAATTTACAGTGTGGTTAGGGTATTAACTTCCAACCCCTCCTCACTAAGGCCCTGGTGAAGCCCCAGCCACTTGGGACTCAGGGAAATGTTGCTTCTCTGATCTTGTTCAAATCTCCCAATGGTTTCACTGTCCTGCTTCTGATCCGGACTGAATCCCACACTGAGCTGCTTTTGCTATCTGGGCATCGGCACCCTGCAACGCTCCATCTGCAACTGCTCCAAGTTCACGTTGAAGGAATCGGCAGGCTCACAGAAGTCCTATTCCCAACTTGCAGCTGACCCACCTGGGCAACGTGAGAACGAGGAAGGAGGCTTTCTCTCCCTACAGTGGACTCTGTGAAATGCCTCTTGCATCCACCTATTATGCTGGGGCTGGTCTCTTCCCCTGTACGATCTTTTGTGCTCTCTGCCATGTTCTGCGTGGACCCTCTGTTCCAAGCTGTAGCACTGGGAAGAGTTTTCAGACTGTTTTCCAGAAATCCCCACTTTCACTGTCCATCCTTACCCACTTTGATATATGTCCTCCACAGCATTTTCTGTTCATTAAACTGTCCAGTATAACATGGTAAGAGAGTTGGTCCTACATTTCAGATACTTCCAGGAGTATGGGTTAGGGGAAATGGGGTCCACCAATGTACCCCGACGCTAATAACTAGGAGTAATTTGTGAAGGGGGCATGGATGATGTCACTATAGGCACTTTGCTCCATCCATTTCTCCAGGTTGTGGCCTTCCATCAATCTATTGGAGGGTTTGAAGGCAGGGAAGAGATCTGACCACTCTAAATAAATCAACTAAAAAAAAAAAATCTAGCATAGTTCCAAATGTGCTGTAAAGAAAACTTTGTTGAGTACCTTGTGTGAGCCGAGTACATATCAAGTGCTTGCACATACAATCTGTGTCTTGTATTCTCAGCAATAGTATTTAATACCCCACTTCACAGAGGAGGGGAAACTGAGGCTCAGATTAATTCCTACAGCTTGTCAATGGCAGAGCCTCAACTTTCCTCCAGGCCTCCTAACTCCAAAGCCCGTGCCGTCACCACTTCCCAGTCCGTCCGGTACCCCAGTGGGGTGCGTTGTTGTTTCTGTTTCAGAAAGCCAAGGAACATGAATTTGGCTCCAGGTAACTGTTTCCAATTCAATAAGCCAATATGTTCATTTGACAGCTGCCCACTCCTGATGAGTCAGAGCCCATCTTGCTAACTCTGTTGAATGCAGGCATTTTAGATGTCCCCCAGGGGATGGGGGGGGGGGGGGCTGCTAATTAACATTCCCTGGCCTTTCATTAACTAAAGAATGACTCATTTCTCAACAACCTCTTAAAAGGACACACGTGTGTATAGGCATTGCCAGTGTACCCAGGGGAGCCAGTTATGACGGTACTAACAGCAAGAACACCTCGTGAGACGCCGTCACCCAGGGCCTCATAGCTGTGTACCCTTGCACATGACATTTGCCTGCTTGGAGCCACAGTTCCCTGGCCTGCTTTCCCCTCATTCCCAACCACTGTCCCAGCCACAATGAGTTAGTTCTTTCACTCCCTCTGCTGTGACCTCCAGCAGCCCAGCCTTTGCATACGCTGGCCCCTCACTCCCCATCTCCTCTTCACCTTGGTGATGCCTCCACAACCTTAAAATCTGCCTAAATGTCTCTGCTGAAGTAGGTTTCTCTGACTCCTTAGTTGAGCTTATGTCCCACATGTCTGTTGCACCCTGTCTTTCCCCCATTGTGACTCAGGTCTCAACTGTTTCAGTGCTGAATTAATACTAATAATTAACCATCCACCAGACTACAAGGGCAGGGCTTCTGTCTGTCATGTGCTCCCTACATGTCACCCCGAGCAGTGGACCGGATACGCTGAGGATGGGATGCTCGGCATATGTGTGTGTCACTGAACTAAGCAGGAAATGGGAGGAACATTATCCAGTACCACTGTGCTGCCTCACTGGCTTGTTGTGAGGGTCAAGATGAAACCTGTAATCATTACCACCAAGCTTTACTGAGGCTGGGCTTCGTGCCATCTCTTATGTGGATGGCTTCAGGTGGATTATCTTATTTATTTCCCGTAATGCACCGAGGAGGGGATTCTTACTGTCTTATTTTTACAGTTGAAGAAACCCATTCTTGGAGAGGGAAAGTGAACCCTGCAACATCACCCCGCTTGTAAGTGGCGGAGCTTGGCTCTGACCCAGCCCATCACACGCCAGACCCCACATGCTTAAGTGCTACTTTAGACTCTAGCAGAGGCCATGCCCTGTCCAAATGGCACATTTAGCACTGTCGGGTAATAATTATACATGCATTCTCACACAGAGGAGCTCAGCTTTAGTCTGCCCTCAGCCTTCGCAGCTATAACACAGGACCTGATGTGTAGACTGAAAAGGGTTGAGCTTTGTCTTTCCCTTTATGTTCTCTTCCTCTAAGAAGAGTCTTTTCATCCGCCAAAGTGGGGATCGTTTAGGAGAATTCACAGATGGAATGTGTCAATTGCCATCCTGGTACCTCTGATAGTGCTTGGAAATGCCGGTGACAGTAGAAAATCACTACTAGAGGGTTTCCAAGAGCCAGTCTACACTATGGGCAAGCATCCATAGACTCAACAACCTCCAGACCCCACCACTAGGACTCCTCTCCTCCACCACACCCTTGCTCCAACCTCCAAGAGCTCCAACCTCGGGCTCTGACCAACGTTCTCTATTCCCAGTTGTGGGCAGACTGAGAGGACCAAAGATCCTTCACTCAGGCTGCACTGGCAGGGCTGCTCTCCTAACGCACCCCTAGAGGCAGAGGCCAGAAGCTGCCAGTCCTACTGAGTCCTACACCCAGCGCGTGGTGGGGCCAAGCCTGGGGCCCTGATATCCCAGCATTTTCTGTGTACCTGCTCACCAGCCTGTCTTAGGAGCTGAGGACAAAGCCAACCAGGAGAAAATTCCAGCACTCACGGAGCTCAGCTAGGACCCTGAGCAGGCAAGAAAGTACCAGGAATCCATGCTAGTAGTCATTTCAATGGGAACCAATGTACAACGAGGCAGGCAGTGTTGTAAGCCCTCTGCAGGTATTATCTTTTTTAATCCTCCCCACGAACCAGAGAGAGAAAACTATTATCGTCCCCTTTCAGAGACGGGCAGACTTCTGTCAGGAGAGGTCACATGGTGGTAAGTGGGGAAGCCATTACCCAGACCCAGTCGCTAGAGTTTAGAGTCTCTGCTCTTAACAACTAAACACCGCAGTGCCATCACGAAGCCATCAAGAAGCTGTGAGCAGGACAGCCGAGGACCGCAGGAGACAGAGGGCCTGACTTGGCCTGGGAATATGTACACAAAGGAAGTGACATTTGCCCTGGTTCTTAGAGAAGAGGAGCTGGCCAGGATGACAAGGGCAAAGAGACCTCCACGCAAGTGTGGAAAAGCCTAGAGGCATAAAAATAGAGACAGGACAAGGAGTTTCACTGGATTCAAGCATGGGGCCGGGCGGGGGACTCTCTGAGGGAGTGGCCAGGAAGGGCCTAAA